TATAACGCTGCGCGTTCATGTTACCTCTGATGAAGATTAAAGGTGACATGGAACCATAAGCTATAGCACCCCAAACCATAACTCCAACAGTGTGATGAACATGTCTTTCAACAAAAAACTGTGGATTCCTCCTTTCACCTCGTCGCCTTCTAACCCTGACACGACCATCGTGCATGCCTAAACAAAATCGAGACTCCTCACTAAAGACAATACTGTTCCATTCCTGATCCCAGAGTGACCGTTGTCTGCACCACTCAAGGCGATTACGTCGGTGTTCTCGAGTTAAAGGGAGGACCCAGTGTGGCCGGTATTAAACAAGCCAAAACTCCTCATTCGTCGGTAAACACTTCGCATGCCTATAGGTCTTCCGTGTTCTGCAAACCATTCATTTGCAATGGACCTGGTAGTGGAGTAAACGGTCCCTTAAGGCCAATAATCTTAGGCGGCGATCTTCACGGTCTGTTGTTCTACGGCGGCGTGCAGTGCCATGCCTGACAACACCTAACCACAGTGTCTACACTTCTTTGCACTCTAACTGCAATTGCCCGAAAAGAAAGTCCAGCTTCCCGAAGTCCCATTCTACGGCCCCTATCAAACTCACTAAGTTGACGAAATCGTACAGGTCTCCGTACTCTAGGCATCGTAACCGATCGTAAAGGATGTCAAGAACCAAAATCCGCCAACGTTGATTCTTTACTGCGGCTGAAATATTCATTTTTAGAGCGTTAGTGAATTAAAAAAAAGCAGTATAAAAACCGGAATGTCCAACTGATAAGGCTGAAAATTTTTTCTCTTGTTATTTACAGTAAGATAAATACATTCACCAACTTTTATTAAAATAAAACTATTTAAACTGGGTGTTCGGATTTATATGTCACTTAGTATATTTTACAACGGGTTGATTGAAATTAAAGTGGCCTCATTAGGAATATCTGACACGTTACTTTTGCTTTTTTGGATTATAAATAACGTAACTTTCGCGTCTTAGAACGGTATCAAATGACGTTACATAAGCGGTACGGTATTAGCAAAAGACATTCTATTATTGAGGAGAATCTTATCTCAGTAATATTACGCATCGGCTAGATACTAAGTATATTCATACATTCCATACATTGCAGAAATGCGGTAGGTTTAGTTTTTAGTAGTTTGAGACGTAGAAGTGTACAGTTTCACGATGGTTTAATAATGCTCGTCTTTATTCTACAACAATTAATAATAGTAATAATGATGTCTTTATTCCCACAAAAGGAAATACATAACAAGTTACAAAACCATATCCGCTCATCCACTTAACCCCTGGTTTTAGGTTTACATCATAATACGATAAGCATATATAAATGAGGTAAAAACATATATGTATGTATAAGCAGTATCAGAGAATGGACCCTAGCGGCTAATTTGATAAATGGTACTATAATAACTCCAAAGTCATACCATGCAATTACCTGCAATGTAATAGCGTATACGTTTTTTAAACAAATCAATAGAAAGAGAAGTATACTCTCGCTGGATATTATTATAAAGTTTACTGATATTATAAGAAAAAGATCTTTCGAATAAGGTGGTAGAATGAAAAGGCGGTGTCAGTTTTGTTTTGTTGCGGGTATTGCGATTGTGAGCAAAGTAACTTAAATGATTTTTTTCGTGTAAGTAGCATGGTAGTTTATGTATAATAATCTTATGGTACGAGGCTATGAAGCAGCCTGCGTTGCTTCATGTTCAGCCAGCCAGCATCAGTAAGCTTTGATGAAACAGAATCGTATTTTCCTAAACCAAAAATAAGTCTCAGACAAGAATTTTGCACGCGTTGTATTTTATCAGAGGTGAATTTAGTTTGACATTTGTCATAGACATCACAGAAGTTAAAATGCGACAGATCAAGAGAATTGCATAGTATGACTTTAGTTTTTTGGTTCATGTAAGATTTTTGACCGTATATCGTCTTTAAATTACAATACGCCTTTCTGAAGCACTTGTTAAGATGATCCCCAAACCTTAAGTTTTTGTCAAGGTATAAGCGCTGTCGAGCTTATTTCTAAAGTATTGTTATCGAGGCTTATTTTCACCAGAGGTTCACAATGGTCTCTCCAATTTTTCGGCCCGAATAACATGACTGTACTTTTAGCCGGATTCAAGTCTAAGCATATGTTTCGAGACGGTCAAGGTCTTCATTTATCAGATCAACAGCAGGCAATGTTTGAGCTGGATACACTTGTGTATCATCTGCATAAAAATGAGCTTTACAAGAGTGAAGACTGAAGTATAGATTATAGGTGCAAATAATGAACATTAGCGGACCCAGAATAGAGCCCTGAGGAACACCAATGGTCACTTTCAATGACGTGGAGTACTTATTCAGTATTACCTGCTGTTGACGATCGCTGAAGTAGCTACGCATTAGGGACTCTGCATCGGCCGAGAAACCGTAAAAGTGGAGCATGGCTAAGATTAGGTCATTATGTATCCTGTCAAATGCCTTCGTATAATCTAAGAGCACCAAGGCAACCAGGTTACGTTTGTCAGCACTACATAATACTTCATCCACCACTCCCAGCAATGCTGTTGCACAGCTATGCGCCAGACGGAACCCTGATTGTGTATATATAATGAGGTAATCCGTTCTTAAGTGTTCTCTTATCTGAACATCCATTATTGATTCAAGCAATTTAGGCAATGTTGGCAATATACTAATATTACGCAAATCCTTGAGCTCAGATGGCTGAGCAACTTTAGGCAAAGGCACAATCAAAGCGTGCTTCCAGAAAAAAGGAGAATAGCGACGCAATATGCATTCATTAATGATATGTGTAATGAAAGGAATAATTTTGGGGTAGAAATACAACAGCATTTCGATATTTATCAAATGCTTTGGTTTTGAAGCCAAACAAAGTATGTTTCAGCTGATCTGTGGACGCCAAAGCGAAATCAAAGAGGGATACATTAGGTTTGACATTATTCTTATAAAAAGAAAGTGTATCAGCATCAGGTTCTATACCTGCACTAGATAAAAACGTAAAGTACCGGTTCATTTGGTCAACATCAGCTAAATCTACTGGAATTGGTGTACATATCGTTGTTTAGCAAGGCTTCGATCCCATTAAAGCATTTTCCATAAACTGTGTATCGATTACGTCGTCTCTATATTCGACATACAACGGTTTTGATCGATCTCTCATTAGTCCTAATTTGTATGACGTAAGGTCTAGAAAATTATTTCAAATAACTTCCGAGAGAAAACAGCAATCTGCCTGTATGGGCAATAGGCATTTTTATCGGATAAATCCGTAAAAAAGTACATGCAGGGTATCTTTTCAGAGAGTTATATTTACCTAATACTGAATTAATTGTCTATGTTATCACTTAAGATTATCGTGGTCTTATCACTAAATCAGAAGGTAAATGTCATTTTAACGTTTCTACTAGATCAATATCATACGCATATAGTGGATTTAGGTCTAAAATGAACAGAGCAATTACACCTACTTGAGGCCATTCCTATGACTATGCATAATATATTAGTAATGATACTCAAGAGATATACTAAGTGACATATAAATCCGAACACCCAGTTTAAATGGTTTTATTTTAATAAAAGTTGGTGAATGTATTTATCTTACTGTGAATAACAAGTGAAAAATTTTTCAGCCTTATCAGTTGGACATTCCGGTTTTTGTACTGCTTTTTTTTAATTCACTAACGCTCTAAAAATGAATATTTCAGCCGCAGTAAAGAATCAACGTTGGCGGATTTTGGTTCTTGACATCCTTTACGATCGGTTACGATGCCTAGAGTACGGAGACCTGTACGATTTCGTCAACTTAGTGAGTTTGATAGGGGCCGTATAGTGGGACTTCGGGAAGCTGGACTTTCTTTTCGGGCAATTGCAGTTAGAGTGCAAAGAAGTGTAGACACTGTGGTTAGGTGTTGTCAGGCATGGCTTCGAGAAGGCCGTACGCAAAGAGCAAGGGGCACTGGACGCCGCCGTAGACGTAGAACAACAGACCGTGAAGATCGCCGCCTAAGGTTATTGGCCTTAAGGGACCGTTTCTCCACTACCAGGTCCATTGCAAATGAATGGTTTGCAGAACACGGAATACCTATTGGCATGCGAAGTGTTTACCGACGAATGAGAAGTCTTGGCTTGTTTTCATACCGGCCACACTGGGTCCTCCCTTTAACTCGAGAACACCGACGTAATCGTCTTGAGTGGTGTAGACAACGGTCACTCTGGGATCAGGAATGGAACAGTATTGTCTTTAGTGACGAGTCTCGATTTTGTTTAGGCATGCACGATGGTCGTGCCAGGGTTAGAAGGCGACGTGGTGAAAGGAGGAATCCACAGTTTTTTGTTGAAAGACATGTTCATCACACTGTTGGAGTTATGGTTTGGGGTGCTATAGCTTATGGTTCCAGGTCACCTTTAATCTTCATCATAGGTAACATGAACGCGCAGCGTTATATCCACGAAGTTCTAGAACCCCATCTTTTACCCTATCTTGACACCCTGGCAGATCCAACTTTCCAACAAGATAATGCCCGACCACATGTTGCAAGAGTCACAATAGACTTCTTTCAACATAATGATGTCACACTGTTACCATGACCACCAAGATCTCCCGACTTATCCCCAATTGAGCACGTGTGGGAGGACATTGACCACCTGATTACAAGCATGCCTAGGCGCGTTGGAGAATGCGTAGCACATCAGGGTGCATCCACACGTTATTAAAGGTCAAAGGGCTTTAAAGCAGTGCAATCATTTCGAAATGTTTATCATTCACTTATTATGCTTCATTAAGTACTTATACAAAATTTTATTAAAATAAAACCATTTAAACTGGGTGTTCGGATTTATATGTCACTTAGTATATGTATAAGAAACTATCACAATATTTTTGTGAGGTTCTGAATCTGTGTATGGGGATTCAGCAATTATGTGTATGAATGCGTGAAAAGTAATGAGTGAATCAACTTGACGTTGTTTATTTTGCTTGCAGACGATGCTTAATCGTAGAGCCTTCTCCGACGTGCTAGCAGACACTCCCCGTCACTCCCGGCTGAAGGAAGACTCAAGACAAATCGAGTTCGTCCGAATTGGTCAAGCCTTGAAGCTGGAAGCCATCGTGAGAGGAGACGCTCCTACCAGTCTGGCTTCGGCAGGGGGTGTCAGTCCGGGGGTGGTTTTCAAACGTAGCCCTTGGGAGGCCAACTGCTTCTATCCGGTATTTCCTGCACAGGCGGTCACTGCAGCTGATTCGTGGGGGGAGAACAGGCTGATTGTGGCTGCAGAAGAGGGCACGTATATTGTGGAAGGTAAGATCTAGTATGTGTTGTATGGGAATATACAGGGTAGGGTGTCTCAAAAAATACAAGGTGTTACACAACTTATGCAACAAATTTTAACTACATATGCACTGTTACGAAAGAAGGTTGATTTCTCAAAAAAATAAATGTAATAAAAGTCCTACCGAAACTAAGTTATAAACCTGAGTTTCAACAATAATATTCTGTATTTTGTGTTCGTCGTCGTGATATTAGAACACGCATTAATAATTTATTGTAGCAAATGTTGTACCAAACAACTGACCAAAACAAAATACCAGTAATTTTTTATTTTTCATACTGATACGTGTAAATAAGGTTTAATCTATATCGTAGGTGATCTGAATGAAGAACGATCGATTTTTATGAAGTTAAATAAGAAAGTATTTTGCGAATTTACGTTTTTAATTATTTACTAATAACACTGATCAACAGCCAAAAAATATCTTAAATAAAATCAACAAAATATAACTATTTTTAATGTGCTAAAACCGGAATAAAACATATTTTTTCAATATTAGTTCAAGTTTTAGAGATACGGTAATTATATGTGTTCCTGCTGTGACAGTGTTAATATACTGTAATTCACAAGAATGCACGTGCTACATTTTTATATTCGGCAAGGAAAGATGATGTAATCGGCATGATTGTGTTACGTTATACATACGTGTACATTATATTGTTTTATATTAGCCATTTTTTCCTCAGTTGAGATGTCTCGAAAGTGTGTAAACAATCCAGATCAGTTTTGTTACGTGTGTGGTGATGTGACTTTTGCGTCTCAGAGACGGTCTATTACTCCACTAATAACAAAGGCATATCAGCTTTATTTCGGTTGTAAACTAGGTGATCAAGACGAACAGTGGGCACCCCACATCTGCTGTAATACATGATCTTCAAGTCTGAGGAGCTGGTTAAATGGCAAAAAACGGTCTATGCGCTTTGCTGTCCCAATGGTTTGGAGAGAGCCTACAAATCATATTAATGATTGTTACTTTTGCATGGTACCTTGTGTTGGACAAGCCACAGGTATGTCCAAGAAAAAAAAATCGGTTATTCACTACCCAAACATACCATCTGCGATGAGACCTGTGCCTCACAGTGACGAAAATTCTATTCCAAAACCCCCAGAATCCTACACTTGCGAATCAGAAGACAAATCAGATCATGGCGATCGAGTGATTCGTCAGGAAGAAGATATGCCATCAACGTCAAGAGATCCTGACTTTATACCGAGCACGTCATGCCACCAACCGCACAAAATAACACAGTCAGAATTAAATGATCTTGTAAGAGATTTAGAACTTCCAAAATGTAAGGCAGAATTACTTGGATCAAGACTGCAGCAGTGGAACTTGTTAGAAGACGATGTTTCGGTATGTGTATTTTTCAATATGGAGAATAACTTGGTTTTCTGCAGTAACATTAACGGCTTACTGGCGGCTTTAAATACATATAAACTATAACCCAGAAGAATGGAGATTGTTTATAGACAGTTCAACATTGAGTTTAGAGGCAGTGTTATTGCATATTGGAAATATTTTACCATCTCTTCCTGTAGGGTATGCAGTTCACATGAAAGAATCATATGACAATATGAAGTACCTATTGACATGCATAAAATACGATGAGCACCAGTGGCATATTTGTGGCGATTTGAAAGTTGTTGCACTTTTACTTGGGCTGCAGCTAGGCTACACAAAGTTTTGCTGTTTTTTGTGTGAATGGGACAGTCGGGCAAAGGCACTTCATTACACCAGACAAAACTGGCCTGTTCGTCAATTCCTAGAGCCAGGTCAAAAAAATGTACAGCAGATGCCATTAGTAGATTCGAAAAAAATTTTATTACCACCACTGCATATCAATTTGGGCCTAATCAAAAACTTTGTCAAGGCATTAGATAGAGATGGGTCAGCTTTTCAATACCTGCGTCAGAAATTTCCAAGACTAAGTGAGGCAAAGGTTAAAGAAGGCATTTTTATTGGGCCACAGATTCGAAATATTTTGAAAGTTACACAGTTTGAAAACACTTTAATAGGTATTGAAAAAACTGCTTGGAATGATTTCCGTCTGATGGTCACTAATTTCTTGGGAAATAGAAAAGCTGACAACTATAAAACCCTTGTCAAAAATATGCTGTCATCGTATCAAAAGATGGGCTGTAATATGTCTCTGAAGATACATTTCCTACACTCACACCTGGACTTTTTCCTGACAATTGCGGAGCCGTAAGTGATGAGCACGGCGAACGTTTTCATCAGGATATTTCAACAATGGAAAAAAGGTACCAGGGAAAGTGGAATCCTTCCATGCTTGCAGACTACTGTTGGACTCTTGGTAGAGATGCTCCAGAAACGATCCATAAAAGAACAGCAAAAAGACAGCGCATATAGTGATTCTTATAAGTACTCGTATATGAATCTTGTTACTTTTTTTAATATATCCTTAAAAATAAAGAGTTTTTTTCTAAACCGAAACTAATTTTTTTATTTCATTTTAATTTTTGGATTCAGCGCCCCAAAATTAACGAAGAAGTGCACTTTTCCCACAAGATACAATTAAAAAACTAAAATTTGTTCTCCAGTGAATAAAAATAAATGGCACATGTGTATACTAATGAGGAGTAAGTGGACATTGTTTTAGCATACGGAGAAGGAGGGCAAAATTTTGAACAGCTTTTATAAGTCAGAGAGCTGCTAAACTGTATTATTTTATTACCTCGATTTCTGTAGGACTTTTATTACATTTTTTTTTTGAGAAATCAACTTCTTGCAAAACAATGCATATGTGGTTAAAATTTGTCGGATAAGTTGTGTATATGTGTATTTGTTTTTTGTTTGACTCTAATAACTCAAAAAATAAATATTATTGCGATCGGTCAAACTTTGCATTTGAAAATTTATAGGGAAACCATGTATGGATTTCAAAACATAATTCTTATTCGACAAATAAAACACTGCGTTATTTGTATGTTATATTTTTTTGATATTTATTATTAAAAGGGCATTAGTTACAAAAAAATGTTAAATAGTTTTCTTTTTACAGTCAGGATATACGTGCCTATGCTCTTGTACGCAACGTATATAAAAATTGTTGACTGTTTGACCTACCGTTTAATTTCTCTATTGTACATGTTCGTACCTATTTTTCTTTTCTCTAACTTGTGCAGAACCTATTATTTTATAACAACAATAATAATAGCATTTATTGCCCATCAGAATATTCTAATTCCATTTACAGGACAAAAAACGAAAATTAACAAAACAAGGAAAAGAAAATCAACAATACAATAATGCTCAGCTCAATAAAATACAACAATATAAAAACTGTATGTTGCATTCAGTTATTTAACGTGCTGCCGTAGAACCTCCTTGATAGTCTAATCATCCAGAACAATATTCGGATCTCAGGCCAATTACCTTATTATGCCTTCTATCAAAAATACTCGAAAGAGCTGTCTACTCACAACTAATGGAGTTTTTCGAACAAAATCACTTATTTCCTCTACATCAGTCAGGTTTCAGAGCTACTTCGTCTTTGTTTTACCTATTACTGATTCCATCATTCACAATTTAGATAATCACATCAACACCGTCTTGGTACTGTTAGATTTCTCGAAAGCCTTTGATATGGTCAATCACCAGATACTACTGAGTAAGTTATCTCATTATGGAACGTCAGATATAGTTCTAAGGTTCTTTGAGTAATACTTGCTAAATCGTCAACAAATAGTGAAAACTGATCAGGGAATTTCCTCCACTGAGCCAGTTCCTTCAGGAGCTCCACAGGGTTCAGTACTAGGTCCCTTACTATATCTGATTTATACGATCGATCTGCAAGACTGTATAGTCCACTGTAGTATGCAAACTTATTTATGCAGATGATACTCAGTTAGTGTTTGGTTACGATCCATCAAAGGTTGATGAAATTTCTTTTAAAGTTAATTTAGATTTGGCTAACATCAGTGATTACTGTAACAAACATTGCTTGAAGATCAATCCTAATAAAACTACTGCAATGTTGTACTCTTCGAAGAACTCCTACCGTGAAATGAAGCAGAGGATTTGTGTTGTTTTGGATGAGACACTCATCCCTTTTGTAGATTACGCCAAGAGTCTCGGTGTTACCCTTGACTTAAATATGAGATTCGATCGGCATGTCTCTTTCTTATCTAGAGTAACGTACATGCGTTTGAAACTCCTCTGTTCTAATCGATTCATTTTGAATTTTAACACCCGAAAAAAGCTCGATGAAAGTCTTGTGTTGTCTGTCATTTCTTACTCTCTTGTTATTTATTACCCATGTTTAGACTACGTCGACAAAAAGAAACTCCAGAAAATTCAGAACAACTGTTGTAGGTTTATTTATGGATTGCGCAAGTTTAGTCGCGTCTCATATAAAATCAAAGAACTCAACTGGTTGCGAATTGATAAGTTATATTTATATCTTTTGACCGTCTTCACGCATAAAGTTCTATTATCTAACAGATCAGCTTACCTCGCTAGCAAATTAGTTCGCCGTGGTAGTTTTGTTACCAGAGCTCTTAGATTTAATGCTAATTTTACCATGCCTCCTCACAATACCTCGGTCTTTGAAAGAAGTTACATCTATAATGCTGTCAAGCATTACAATGCAGCCAACAGTGGCTATCGATCCAAACAGGTTGCTTCTTTTAAGAAATTAATGAAAAGTCAGCTGCTGGAGTCCATTTAGTTCAGTTTTTCTTGTGTTCATGTGATTTTTTTTTTTTTGTTTGACTATTTTCTACTATTTTTGTTTCAAATTTAAAACTCTCGCAATACTACCTGCATTTGTCTCGTGCAATCAATGTTGTCATTCTTATGAATTGTATTTTTTTTTTGGTCGCAGATATTTGAAATTCTTCAAATTCGTGGGATTCATACTTCTAAATAACCACAACAAAATTGGAGTAGATTGGTCAAGTAGTGAGTATCCCAAAACACCTGTTTTCCGACCATCATTACTAGTCTATTAAGTAATATACAGGGCAGTTTACAGCAAAATACACTAGTTTGCCTTGCCGATAAAAATTGCAAGCCATTTCGGAAGATAAATGTTATTTTTATGCAAAAAGGGTAGGTTACGCTTTTTCTTCTAAACAAATTCAAATATTTCGCATTTGTTAGTAACAAAAGATGATAGATACATCCGCTTTATTTTGAAATGTGTATGGTAATGTATGTTTTTCGAATACACAAATACGAGATGTTTGAATTTGTTTAGAAGAAAAAACGTAACCTGTGTTTTTCGCATAAGAATGACATTTCGATTCTCAATAATTACTCGACCAATATGCTCCAATTTTATTATTGATATTTTAAAATATAAATCCTACAGATTTGAATAATTTTAAGTCGTTGCGTGAAAGTACCGTCGCATTACCAACAAGTGCCAAAACCTGCATTTTGCCCCGTTTTTCGGCCATAACAGTTTTGCTATTAGTAGGATCTCTTTATTTTGTATGTCTCATAAATACCTAAAAATTTTGTTTGGAAAGTTTTTTCGTTCCTGTCAACACTCGATTGAATGCCGAAAAACGCGTTTTCTCATTCTTTGTTGTCAAATAAAAAGTTTGCCCACAAGAATTTGTGTACACATTTTATGCGTCCATTTTTTAAATATCCCCTTGAACAACTTGCATCAATAAAACCAGACTTTCCAATTATTTCGGGGAAATTTTTCTAATTTGGTTAGACTAACAACAAAATGTCGCAATAATTGCATACGATATTGTAATGGGTGATTCATTTATAGGTACTTTTTTCAGCAACAAAATAAAATAACAAAATTCTTTTTTCTTGTCAAATCTTTTTTATTAAAGAAAAGAACTATTTTTGACATTTATTTTTAAAATATTATTTCTTTGAAATGTTGGCCCTGACTGCGGTTGAGATGGTCCATTCTAAAGTTCCGATTTTCGATGACACGTTGGAGCATTTCGACTGAAATTTGGCGAATAACCTGCGTAATGTTGGCTTCTGATTCCTCAATCGTTTGGGGCTTATCAATGTAGACTTTGGAATTAACGTAGCCCCAAAGGAAAAAGTCTAGAGGTATGATCTCACATGATCTAGGTGGCCAATTCACTGGTCCAAATCGTGAAATTAAGTGTTCATCGAAATGTTCACGCAATAAAGCCATGGTTGCACGGGCTGTGTGACTAGTGGCGCCGTCTTGTTGGAACGAAAAGTCATCGAGATTACGGGCTTCAATTTCAGGCAGCAAATAATCCGTTATCATGGCCCGGTAACGAGCACCGTTCACAGTTACGTTCTGACCGGCCTCATTTTTGAAAAAATAGGGACCGATGATTCCACCGACCCATAAACCACACCAAACCGTTGTTTTCGCTGGATGTAATGGCAGCTCTTGAACCACTTTGGGTTGTTCTTCAGACCAAATACGACAGTTTTGGTTATTAACGTAGCCGTTAAGCCAAAAATGGGCCTCATCGCTAAACAAAATTTTGCTCGAAAACATCGGATCTTCTTCAAGCAGTGCAAGAGCCCAAAGACTGAAACGGTGATGCTTTGGAAGGTCGGCCGGCTTCAATTCTTGAACGAGTTAAATTTTGTATGGTTTCAAATTAAGATTCTTACGTAAAATTCGCCAAGTTGTTGGATACGACAAGCCAAGCTGTTGAGAACGGCGCCGAATCGATTCTTCACGGTCCTCACGTATACTCTCAGCTAGCGCAACACTGCGTGCTGGATGTGGCCTCTTTGGTCGGGTATTATCCAATAATGAAAATTGGGTTTCAAATTTTTCGACCGTACGGCGAATTGTGCGTTCGGTTGGCCGATTATGTACACCGTAAGTTGCTCTAACTGCACAAAGCACACTTCTCGCAGAACGTTGATTTTCGTAGTACAGCTGAATTATTTGTAGACGCTGTGCTGGACTAAGTCTTTCCATGATGAAATGTCGAACAATTAGTTGTCATGACGCATGCGCCATAAGCAATTACAGCCACACCAAAAAAGTACCTCTTAATGAATCACCCATTAGGTGATGCACATGACCCTTATCGAACATTTTAGAGCTTTGCAAAGGGCAAAGACTTGATGCCATTTCTGTATCAGTAACCTTGTGACTTTCATCGACACCTGATCCAAATCACTCTTTCTTTCCAGATGGCAACACTCATCGTTTAATATTCGACAAGACACTGCAAGTGCGTCAAATAAGCGTCGTCGAGCCTCACGGTATCCTCCTTTTGAGAGCTGGGGCTGTAAACAAAGAGGGTAAAATCTATGTATTCCGGCTGTCTCAAATAGAAACCATGACGGAACCGAAAAGCAGGATGGACGTCAAAGAGCACAGGCTGGAGAAGACCAGGGGCGTACATCTATACGCTTTGTCTAGACCAGGTGAGTATCTCACAATGAGACTTCTTTTTATGTGTTTAGCGGTCGCTAACTCCAAAATAGAAAACCGTTTGTTTCTGGTGATGAATTTGAAGGGCCATTGAAAGGACAAATCCTAAAAATTTGAATAACATGGCAGAATAACGGGTTATTCTCCAAGGTGGCTCACCTGTTTTAGTTTTTTATTATTGAAGATAGAAAAGCCAAATTGGGGCTTGCGAATCTACATTTTTTTGTCATATTCACTTGCTTTGACGTACATCAGGTTTGACCGGAAACGACTCCAACTTTCGACTTTTAAACGGGACACCCTACATATTCTTACTTTTTTTGATCGAGTACGACATTCTAAACTCAACAACACCTCACTTGTCATTATTTGTCAAATAAGGTCATTTTTATCTCAGTTTTTATTTTTCGATCTAGAATGCAATTGATCCTGTAAATTGCTTCATCTTTGATCAAGTAACCCGGGGAAAATGCGATTTTGAAAGGAACGACCTTAAAGTCATTTCAAAGATTTTACCAAAATTAGAAACACTAATTTTTTTCAGCATACTAGATTTTTCCGAATAGAAAGGAGATGGCTCGTCAGCTTTTTCTAAGAGACCATTTCCTTACGAATAATTTGACACCACACACGCTTATTGTTTTTCCTTTAAGCGATTTACAGTATCCATGACATTCCAGATCTAAAAATAAAAATTGAAATAAGAATGAACTTATTTACCAAATATTGGCAAGTACGAGCCCCTTCCCACTTCAGTTGGCCCAGCTATTGAAATCGTAGCTTTTTTTTATCAAACAAAAATAATAAAAATGTAGCAGGGTCTTATAGGTTTAAAATATTATCAATAAATATTTTGATAATATATAGTAGAAAACACCAACTGTATCACTCCCTAATCAAATTTGCAGCATAAAAATAACATATGTTGCAATTACAGCATATCAACCTATTTTCATTTCAATGCAAAATAAGTCTATAACGCATAGGTGGCAGTGAAAAATAAAAGCCATGACAATTGTTTTTTATTAATCACAGCTGTCAGAATACGTTTAAAATAGTTTTGGGCAGTTAAGGTTTTCAAAATGGGTAGAGGAAAGGTTATTAGTGAGAAAATTCGGTTACTGATAATTAAATTTTTTAATTCTGGGAAATCGAACTCAGAAATTGTAACTTTGTTAGACTTATCGCGGTACAGTGTGAGAAATATTGTTAGAAGATATAACGTAACTGGTTCAGTTAAGATTAAGCCATGATATGTGAAAAAAGTAATATCACAAATGCCGACCGAAGAGCATTAAGAAGAATCATCGTGAAAAACAGGCGTGCCAATTATTTACAATTAAGTGCTCTGTGGAGTGACGCTGTTGGAAGGAGAATTTCGAGGTCCACAACTCATAGAGAGGTCCACAAACTGGGATTTAGCACTTGCAAGGTAAGTTTTCTTATAAAAAAAAGTGAAGTAAAAACCCTAAAGTTGCACAACTTGTTTATAGGCCAAAGAAAAGCCACTATTAACTCCACTGCAAAAGAAAAATAGGCTTAGATGGGCTAAAGAACATGGACAATGGACACCTCGACAATGGTGTGCAATACAATGGAGTGATGAGGTCCGATTCGAAGTTTGTGTTGGTGACAGTCGCAGTAGCGTTATTCGCAAAAAAAATTAAGCATTCCCTGTTGACTATCTGAAGAGAAAAGTGAAATTTCCAGCATCCATTATGGCTTGGGGCAGTATGTCATCAAAAGGAGTAGGAAAACTTCATTTTATTGATGGAAATGTGGATACAAACAAATATTTGTCAATTTTAGAAGAATCGCTTTTGCCAGTGATGGAAGAATGTTTGACATCCGGCCAAGATTTTGTGTTTCAGCAAGATGGTGCAGCGTGCCATACCTCAAAAAAGGCTATAAAATGGATGGAAGAAAATAATGTACCACTTTTGAAATGAGTTTCTAGCAGTTCAGATCTGACACCTATTAAAACTTGACACGAGATGAAAAAGGTTCTACGACAACATCCTGCTCGTACAATCACCGAACAGAGACAGAAGCTCCAAGAAATATGAGATTGTTTTACATCAAATGTTTGCCAAAACTTGGTTAACACTATGTCCCAAAGAATTTCAGCCGTAATAAAAAATAAAGGTGATGTTACCCAATGGTAATCTTTCAATTGTTGCTTTGTTAACTTCGCGCATTTATTCGCACATTGTTTATTTGTTCAGATGTTCTATTAGTTATAGGTCTAAAATGTTTTTGAGAAAATAAATTGTTTTAGAAGTAAATAGTTTCATGTTTAATTTATAAAGGCATATTTTGGTACAAATCTTGAAGTGGGCCAACTGAAGTGGGAACGGGCTCGTAAAGCGTTGTTGAGGTCATAATGTCACTCTCCATCGAAACAAGTAAAAATATATAGGGTGACCCATTTAAAAATCAAAAGCTGGAGTCGTTTCCGGTCAAACCGGGAGTGCGACAAAGCCAGAGAATATGTCAAAAAATGTAAATTCACACTTTTCGTTTTTCTATCTTCAATAATAAAAAAGTTATAAAGGTTAGCCGCCTCAGAGAATCACCCGGTATAAGGTTGGATTACCCGATTGCTTGAAAATGTTACCAAAAACTGATACCACAAATTATCTGGCAGTACTTCAAGATACACATACACCATTTATTCCAATTGGTGTAAAGGGCAGAAGGTTATTAAATACCTGCCTGGATAATAATATGGAGCAGTGAAGCTAAAAATGGTAATCCGTACAATTCACGGTGTACATGAAGACAACAATAATGACAGATTTCTCTGTACTCTTTTTATTATGATTCCTATTCAGATGCTCAAATATGTTCAACACACAACAGATCTTGCGGTTAAACAGTAGTGTCGAATAATACGCCACAAACTTCAAGTATACTCGTAATACCGGCAGTGAAAGCAAAATTCTGATTCTATGGCCAATTTACTGTTTAAGGAATCTCTTATTATGCCCGAGAACCCAATAATCTGAGTTAAATTTGAAACACCCGGTACACACATTTCAAGGTTGAACTCCACCCCATCTCGTTAATAATCTTAATCGCCTCTTGCACCCATTTCCGGACAATTAAAGGCCGAGACCGATTAGTGACCCTTTTGTTCTATACACAAAGATTTCAGTCATTGTCCACAAAAAGACAGAAAGAGAAATGAACTACATTTTCAGCAGGATGCTACCGTGTTGCCGAGTATGCGTGTTTAAAGAAAAATGTGAGGTTTTAGATACGAAATCTGCTGTGTAACACTCCTTTGCATGTCTGATGTGGGAAGTCGCGACCTAATTGGCGATTAACACGACCAACAACGGCTATCACGTTTGTATTGTAACTCTTTTTACATTCCAAAGTCTAATGTATTACTCCTATACTAATTTAAACACTTGCAGCTAATTTATGTCAAATTATATCCGTGCGGACTGGACTATCGCGTTCTGCGCCCTTGCTGACTCATCGTCCGCTGTCGACTGTCTATTCTGTCGAGCATGTTGTTTTGTTTTTGTTCGTGTACGTCATCGTGTTTATTTACAATGTTCTTGAATCAAGAGTTCGCCGACATGTTGTTAGTTTACGGTGAAGCTCGTCAGAATTGCAGCTCAAATGTATCGCGACAGATTTCGCCAACGGGTACACCCTCACAGAAGGACATTTGTGCAAGTGTACCGAAGACTTCGAGATACAGGAAGTGTTCAGCCCACTACTATTCGCACTCGTGAAAGACAGGTTACTGTAGAGCAGGAGGAACAAATTTTAAATATCGTGGAAATCAATGCAGATATCAGCACTCTGGAATTAGGCCGCCTCGTAGGTCTATCGCATACCATAGTCTATAGAATTCTAGGACTGCCGTATCCTTCGAAAAATTGACAATATCGCAAGTCCAAGGTTGTGGTGGATAGTTGTTAAGGAACACAGATTTATGAACGTGTTCAGAACAGGCTTGAACCTGGAGAGGCGGCGATATTAATTTCTTTCAAATGCAACCCGCCATTTCTTAACTTTGGTTATAGTAGTCATTCGCATTGGCGTGAAGGACATTGTAGTTTGAATTGCTTACTTTTCATTTGTTGTAATAATTCTGTCAGATTTGAACTACGAGTATATTTGATGACTGATGCTCCTAGAGCAAGCAGGATATGGCTTCGTTTTGTTCTGTTCATGAGGTATGGTATATAAAGTCCAGACCTTGATAAAAATTAGTATTTTGCCACCATCCGATACTGACTGTTGTCGAGATTCTCAGGGGATGTCGAGGGTACAATGGCGGAATGTTGTCGATTCGAATGAAGCAGTATACGAAATATTTTATTATTAAATGACAATGTTATTGAAGTAACTTTTATTTGAATTTGCATCCAGTTCCAGAACCACTTGAACTTGACTATATGTTTTTTTGTGTTTTCCGCTTTTATGAAACATGATTCATTTCAGATTGGCCAGATTTTGCTTAGCTAATTTGGGGAATGAACTGCGAGCGATATCTCTTAGAGAATTTATTTCTACCACAGGGAATTCCAAATAAAGGAAGGCTACTTCCTATTCCGGTATTTCTTTTTGCAGCTCACCAACTTCCCAGCGAATGTAGTGACTTGAGAAATGTGAGGTCATTTAGCACTCCGCATTACTGCATTACTCCCAAGTAAAACGAGATACAACCTTTATATCGCTGAAAGGAATACTGACGTTTTTTCCTGAGCTAGAAATGGCTGTGATTGAAAAGATGTGTTCAGCCTAATGAATCGAATCTAGGGCCAAAGATGGAGATTTGTTATTTTCGTTAGGATGTTCGTGTACTTTTCAGACAATAACAGTGGGTCTTGTTGATTGACCACTTATATCATAATGGATTCTGATGTAAGATCTCGAGTACACAGGAATTTGCTGTCAAAGATGATTTGAATTTACAAAATCGATCTCCAAATGACCTCTGAGGTCATTGTCTAGGTCATATCTGATATAT